ATAAGTGACGGGCTTCCCACGTGAACATGTGCAATGATTAAGCTTTCGAGTAAATTGTTAGATACGTTAATACAATCATGTAGTACGTGAAACATATAATAATTATTTTGTAATGATTAAATTTGCTAGTGAACATTATTAATGGATGTCCTATATACCTATAGGATGGACTACAGTTGTACTATGGTTAATTTTTTCATTTTATGTCATTAAGAAAGTTATTGTGAGCAAGAGTTTATAAGTTTAGTACTTACAATTATGTCAGAAAATTCATCATGTCAAAGTGGACACAAAACCACAGGCGCATATAATCATGCGCCTGAATTTTTTTTCTAGAAAAAGTGCTTGGAAATCAATAATTTTATATATGTATCATTACTATTAAAAAAATTAAAATCAAAATTAGTAAAGATAGATCAAGAAGGTGATAAATTTCAGCTCAAACTGAATTTGGGAAAATGAGAAAACACATGCATGGAGAGATTTTGCACATGAATATGGACACACACGTGGGACCAGATTTTCTATCATTGTTTATTTATGAAGAAGAAGAGTCAAATTAATGAGCTCGTAAACCCATGATTAAGTATATATGCTCATAATGGGGCGGCTTAGAGGGAAGGACAAAGGGTGTAGTGCCCTAGGGCCCATAAGAAAAAGGGGCCTAAGACTTTTTTTTGTTAACTACAATCATTTCATAGATCTACAAAGATACATTAATACTTAACTGTATTACAATCATCTTCACGAATGTATTAGACAGCTGGTAAAAAGAAAGCTTTTACTGATATAAATAACTTTTTTTTTTATTAACCATATAGAAATGTTTACGATCACTAAAATATTATTTTGGTTATGATATTTTGTTTGTTGTGTTTTTCTTTACAGGGTCTGTTCAAAAGGAATGTTTCTAATTCTTAAGAGCTTTAAGGGTCTGTTTTCAATTTTTCCCTAGGGTCTCCATAACATTTGAGCCGGCGCTGCTCATGCATTATTACGATGAAACATGGGTTTGGTTGCTTTGGTCAGTTCTTAGCTATATGTGTCTTACCAAAATCATATGAATAGTCTCTAGTTTCAATTGGTATGCAAAACCTCTCTATATTTTTGCAGTGTGCATTATATATCATTGATTTCTTACATTTTACAGTTTTCATAATGGTCTTATGTCCAGTATATTATTGTTGGGGGGTAATAATGAAATGGGGCCTACAATTGACTTAGGATAATTTTACTATTTCTCGGTTTTCTTAATTTTTACACAAGTGTTTATGTAAGCTATAGTCGTTGTATCATTAGCCTTCAAGTGTTCTCTCCTTAAGGGTGTGGTTTGCACGCGAAAGAGGTTGCACGTAGGTATGTGAGAAAAGAAAAAGAGTATCTAATGATTGAAGAGAAGCGGATGTCTGGTCATGGAGGAACCCAAACTACGCCGCACGAGTGTGGTTACAATGTGCTGCCACCCTAGCGACTTCCCATGTGATCATGCACTTGAACTCCTTCTCAATCTCCCATGTGGCCCCCATTTCTTCTTGTTCTTTAATCTTTTTTCATTCTACACCAACACACTCTGTATTGTAAATTTTCACATACATGAACACACTTGAATAATATATTTAATAGATCAGGAGACGGCGATCATTTTAAATTTACGTGCATTGTCAACTTCATTGCGACTTATAACTCGCAACAATTTAACATTTTCAGAGAAGTATACATCAACATCATTCGTTATAAGGGGACATTAGACCACAGTAACATAAACTAGTATATAATAATCAAATTTGCATGTTAAGCGAAAAAGAAGTACTATAGTATATAGCACTAACTATTGTAAGCATGCGAATAGAACTATACGAGTTGTAGAAAGTAGAAACTAGGTTTCGAAATGCATAACCAAAAGGGGTACATGTTGAACTTGCTTTACCCCCAAAAATGATAGAAGAATGTTTACTTTGAGATCTGGAGCCGTCAATTCTGACCCGCATCAAACTGGCAATATAGAAAACTAGGACTTGATTAGTAATGCGTTAGCATAAACATAATGTTTCTTTATTATCATATCATCATTTATTACAAAAATATTTCTATTACTATTATTTACAAGATGCTAATACTCTCAAATGTTCTTTGCTCAGTGTTCTCATATGATTTTTTGGAAAAATATTTGTGGTTAGAATAAATAAAATAAAAAGTAATTAGATAGCTTATTTTATTTAATAATATAAAATTATGTTTCTTTTCAATTTTTTATATTTTTAAAAATGAAAGTTGGTATTAAATATTAAAATTTTAAAATGAATTATATTTCACATTTTAAAATAAAATATAATATCTAGTATGTATAATGATATTGAGTCTGGCCAAAAGCAAGATTTGAGAATCTGACTTGGCCAAGAGATGTTACCACTTCAAACGAACTCCACGATTACCAAAAAATACTATGATAGATACATCATGCTTGCATCCTTTTAAATTTAACGAAATTGAAAAACAAATATCTCATACATATTTGTTTGGATCTCCCTTGATCCTTTTTCTCTTCTTCCAATTCCTCCTCTTTTTTCCCCCAGACTTGTATGTTCATGTCTCTGTGTGCTGACATACCTGAAGGATGTCAATCGACAATGAACTGTTTGTTTTATAAATGAAATATTTTTTGAAGAAATGAAACAAAATTAAAATTTCCTAACTATGTGCTTAATCTTAAAACATCAAATTGAAAAAAAAGTAGAAGTGTTATTTAACGATTTTCTTTAAGACCATTAAAACATTTATACACAAGCTTACAAAAAACATAGTTTGTAATAGTTTTAATTAAAAAGTTAGGGGTCGACACTGTACTTATCAGACTTTCGTTCCAAACATCTGTTTACATCTTGTGGAAGGAGAGGAACTTAAGGAGACATGGAGGCAAGTGCGCTTCGGTGGAAGTTACAAGCAGGGCCATCGGGAGAGTGATAAAGAATCGCATCTCATCACTTAAATATGGGAGGAAATCACAAGTTTCAAGGGTTACTTAGGAGATGTTTTGAAGTTTGTCCTGCCTAGATTGTTTATTCTTTCATTCTTTACAACATCAGTCAGTATATAAGTAGTTTGTAAAGGTTTTTTTAATTGATCAATAAATTTGATATTTTATCCAAAAAAAAAGTTAGGGTATAAGGACATGTTAATTGGGAGTTTTTAGGATGGAGTTCTTAACTCATGAGTTAATAAATTTTCGTTTTTTATACTTTTGACTAAAAATCGGTTCTTATATATCTCATTTAAGAGTCAGTTCTTAGATTTTCTGAATTAAAAACTAAGAAACATATATTAATGAAAACGTATTTTAACCAAAACTAAAAACTCCACCTAAGAACTCCCAATAAACATGGCTAAGTTTGTTGTAGTACTCTCACGTATATAAAAGATTCAGTTTGATGGTTAAAGCTAACCAGTTCAAGCCATCAACCACCCAGTACTCCAAATAAAGCTCATTTGTATAAAAGTATAAAACTAGTTTACATACCTTTTTTTCCTTGAGGTCAAAGCAAAATGTTTTGAAACCAATGAAAAGCCTCTTCTTTATTGATTGAAGATATTTAGAAGTCATGAAGAGTCAAATACAGATTCACTAACAATGAGAATAAAATTTGAAGATATTTAAAAGTCATAAAAAGTCAGTTACATATTCATTTACAATAAAGAATATATCGGAAAGTAAACATACATTAAATTGTGGTTGAAAGAGTCGGACGTTATTTAACTTCAAAATAAATTAACAAGACTGACCTGCCTTGTCTGTAACTCTCGAAGAAACTGAAGCAGCAATAATGATGGCATTATCAACAACTTTGGGAAACAATAAAACGAAAAATAAACAATGACTATTGTCTCAGGACAAGAGGTATCAGGTATGCCATAAACTCTACCACCACTAGTCTTTTCCAAATGTCCGTTTATTTGACTGAACCATGACAATCAATTGAAAATTTTGAAATTACCAAAAAATGTACTAATCAAATGAGAGTTTTTGGAAAAGAGGATAATACGTTAATTCAAGGTAGAGAGTCGAATGCATGTTGGATTCAGAGGGAACTCTAGAGTCTAACCCCATACAATGCTAGCCTCCCTCTGTGTAACCTACCCAATACTACGTAGTTTTTTTACTCCTAGACCCCAATGCCATTCTCTCCCTCTACAGGCGCACATACACCATATACATCTGTCGTTTCCTCTTAAATTACTTCTTCATGTGTAAAGAAACAAAACAATACAAACAGAAATCTACAAGACAATTCCAGACTTTTGTTAAATGAAGTATATCTTTAGTAGATAATATATACGAAGTGTGTGCATACCACTTCCTCAATGCATCACCATACTCATACCCGAAGTCCCGAACATTACCGTTTTAATTAGTTAAATTAACAAAACTTAACTTAACTATCTTCTTCAAGATTGATATACGAGTTCTAGAGAATAAAAATTCAATGGATGCGCAAAGTATTATGTATTTAAAAATAGCGAAGTTAAATTAACAAAACTTAACTATCTTATTCAAGATTGATATATGAGTTCTAGAGAATAAACTCAATTGATGCGCAAAGCATTACGTATTTTTATTTTATTTGATCAAACACACTCATTCATAGATATCAGAAGTTTTACACCCCATTGACAGAGGAATGGTTTAGCAATGAGAAGGTTGATTTTGCCACAGCATCACCTCAATATTACTCAAACGTGGAACAAAACGATAGGAAACATAATCAAATGTATTTAAAAATAGTGAAATAAACCGTAAGACAGTATAGCATATAATAGTCAAACACAGATAAACAAATAACTACTGTAATGAAGAAAATAATTAAATTAAACTTCTTAAAACTCAACGTATTTGAGTTAAATGGCCTTTTCTTATTTTCTAACGTTTGTATAATTTATTTTAAGGAGCCGGTGACATATATATCATCATTGAAATGACAAGATCCTATCTGACATAAGTCATCATTGAAACCCCAATCCCCTTCATAACCCTTCCTCTCTCTCTCTCTTTCAACATTATTAACCAGCACTACTTCATTGTTTTCTCGAGCAAAATCTTTTTTTTTGACCAAATTATTCAAGCAAATCTTGAAGAAATGGGTGAAAGTGATGATGGCTTGCGTCTGAGTCTAAGCTTGGGGTCAAGTCAACTAAAGGAACCATCTCTGGGGTTGAATCTATTGCCTTTGACAACTTCTTCTCCTTCTTCATTTTTTCACATGCACAACCACAATAATAACCATCTTCAGAAGAAGATTCATCACAACTCTTGGCCTAATACGTTTCAATCCTCCGGTAATTTTGTTGTTCCTCTTTTTATTTTATTTTTTCAGACTATTTTTCCTAAGATTATTTTTTAAATTTGATGTGTGAGAATTCAGTTTCCGTATAGAACATGAATATGTTTCTTTGAAGATTCTGTTTTAATCTTCATATAGTACTAATTTTTTCCCTAATGTATATATATCCGTCTCAGATCTGATCATATTTATCAACTTTAGATCTGATCATATTTATCTTTCTTATATTTTTTGTATAAAACATTTTTGATAAGTTTCGAAACTGAATTTAGCAAAAAAGAAAAAAGTTTAGAAACTAAAGTTGAAAATGCTTTCTGTAGAAAGAAACTCTGACGTTGGATCTCTTGTAAGAGGTCTCGAGGTAAATAAAACTTCTTCTGTGGCGGTAATGATTAACTTAGAAGAAGACGTTGCGGGAGTTTCTTCACCGAACAGCACGGTTTCGACTGTGAGTGGAAATAAGAGGGATCTTGCGGCAGCTAGGGGAGACGGAGGAGGAGATGCGAACGAGGCAGAGAGAGCTTCTTGCTCACACGAAGGCGTAAGCGACGAAGAAGAAGGAGGAAGCTGCGAGGGGACGAGGAAGAAGCTCCGGTTATCGAAGGAACAAGCTTTGGTTCTTGAAGAAACTTTTAAAGATCATAGCACTCTAAACCCGGTAAGTGGTGGCATTTTCGTTAAATTTGTCAAGCATCTAAAGTTGCATTTTCTAAATTTTTTTTTTTTATATTCATCTGATTTGGCAGAAGCAAAAGCTGGCTCTAGCAAAACAGTTGAATCTGCGGACAAGACAAGTAGAAGTGTGGTTTCAGAATCGAAGGGCAAGGTAAAGTAAATTTTCACTATCTTTAGGGGTATTAATGGCACACTGAACCTTTGTAATTGCTATGATGGTGATATAATTATCCGACCAAACAGAATTCATTTCACTGTCCTAAAAAGTAAATCGTATTTAGGATCTTCTGGCTCGGCTCTGTCACATGGAGTTTTTACTTTTACGCAGAGCTGCATGCGTATATTAAAAGTAAAATCTGGTTTTGTTTTGTTTCTTTGTCATTCAATACCTTTTTTCTTCTGATATAAAATCTGTCATTCAATGCAATTATTGGTCAGTTAAGTCAAAAGTAAATTATAGTAATATAAACTTTCAAATAAATATATTTTTTATATATTTACTTTTTTATTGATCAGTTAACGACAAATATTTGTTTTACAATATAGGAGTATTTACTTACTGTGTAATTCGTCAAAGCCACATTATCAAAAAAATGATTTGTGAATGAAATGGAAGAAGTACTAAAAAGATATTTTGGGACTTTATTACATTTTTTAGGACAAAGCTGAAACAAACGGAGTTTGATTGTGAGTACTTGAAGAGATGTTGCGATACTCTAACGAAGGAGAATGGACGGTTGCAAAAGGAGGTATCTGAGCTAAGGGCATTGAAGCGATCTCCACATCTCTACATGCATATGACTCCTCCAACTACTCTTACTATGTGCCCTTCTTGCGAACGTGTCTCGGCTCCCTCCTCCTCAGCTATGGCTGCTGCTGCTGCTCATCCTCCACCCTTGTCTTCATCCACCACATCTGGTGGTGGTGAACGGATGCCTACAGTGGTGAGACGGCCAAGTCCACAACGGGCAACTCCCTGGGCAGCTATTTCTCTTCAGTCAAGATTAGCTCACTAGGATATTTAAGTAAGTTTACATAAAATCTATGTATGAAAACTGAAACCTTAAAAGTTAAAAGTTTTTATGCAAGGTTTAACGTCAATATATCAAAAATGAAAAAGACGTCATCTGTATCTCAAATCGATACAACGAAATTAAGTAAGAATGACATAATGCAAATAGATACAACGAAATTGAGTAAGAATTAGCTGTTTTACCCACGTCACCTCCACCAAATAGTCCGATTATTCCCCCCACGACGATAAGAGCACCCCCATTGAAGATTCAATGGAGGGGGGGGGAGTTTCACACAAAAACCAAGAAAAAAAAATATAATAAAAGTTGTGAACCTGTGGCTTTGGGGTTCACTCTGGTGAACATGTGGCTTTGGGGTTCACTCTGGTGAACATGTGGCTTTGGGGTTCACTCTGGTGAACCTGTATCACCACTGTTCCGCGGGCCCCGTGACACGTGGCGATCCGTGATTGGTCAATTTTTTTTTTAAAAAAAAAGTTACAAACGAAAAAAAAATAAAAAAAAAAGTTGTGAACCCCCAAGGTTCACTGATGGGGATGCTCTAAGGGACCAAAAGATCCACTACTTTAATTTCGATGATAAGGGGCCAAAAGATCCACTACTTTAATTTATGTTTCAAAAATAGATAATTTTGTATCTAATTGTATAAAAGCAAATGCGGATTTATGGATAGGAGATGTTGTGCGTATCGACAGGACCTAAAAGATCCACTACTTTAATTTATGTTTCAAAAATAGATAATTTTGTATCTAATTGTATAAAAGCAGATGTGGATTTATGGATAGGAGATGTTGTACGAGTATCGACATGACCTAAATTATCAAAATGTTTCCCAAGTACATTGAAATTTCATCCTAGAGTCGCTCCGTCAACTGAAACACTTAGAGGATTTCCCATAATTCAAATTAGTAAAACTAATTAGGCTTATTGCCAATCCGTTACAGTCAGAAAACGTTTTGGGCCTCAACATATTTTTGTGCTATCATCCATAAGAATTTTCTCAAGTACTTGCGACGCCATGTTGCTAGATCCACCCCATTTTCTACCTTATTTTATTACTTTCTCATATATTCTCAATTCTTAATAAAAAATAATTTCAATGATATAATAAAACTTTTTAAATTAATATTCTATAAATTAATATACATTAAAAATCTTTATAAAGTAAAATAATTTTATAGTTCCAAATTAAGTTTTTGATTCATTAATTTTATTGATAAATTAATAATTGTTATAAATAATAAATATTATAATTTTAGTATAATCCCGACATTATTAATTATAAAAGTTTCGCTGTATTAAGTATTGAAGAAACGTAAGAGATGTAAATTCCTGTATTCATTATGGTCAACAATATCTTCATTTTAATTTCAGTACATTTAAAAGAGTTTAAAGCTTTAGTGACATTGTCACCAAAATAGATGCATAATGACCGAACCAAGTCCAGCCGTCGATTAATGAACCAAAGAAAAATCGACTTGAACTAATTAATTAATGATATGAAGTTACAAACGACAATATAATACTAGCATTAATCATATGTTATTCTTCTCAGTTATTCCATCCGTTTCAATTTGATTATCGTTTTGAATTTTTGAACATAGATTAAAAAAATATTTAATTTTACATATTTCTAAATAAAAATATTATTATCTATACATTAATTTAATTATATTTTAACCAATGTAAATAGAATACCATATAAATTTAATAAATTTTACATTAAAATTATAAAATAACACTTATTTTGAAACGGAAATTTTATCTTTTAATTTAATGATATATAAATTGAAACGATGGGAGTATACTATATGTTATTCGAATATGAAAATTAATACATGAGTTGGGAAATAAGAAAACTCACTGAACTCATAATATAACAGCATATTCAGTACATCTTCTTTTATATATATATATATATATATATATATATATATATATTTTCTTTTTTTTTGTCAACTTCTTGTATATGTAAAATATATATCTTCAAACTCTATCTGAATTTATACGAACTTTGTTTTACATGGGTTTGAGTTTTTGTTATGCACATTATGACATTATCAGACTACTAGTCTTAGGAACGAAACCTTTAAGATGGCACGACCAATTTTTACAAACTATAAAGAAGTGGACCAATTTATATATTTTGAGCTGCATAGTATAATATGGACAATGAATTTGCTTAAAAGAGAGAGAGCGTGACCATTTCATGTTCTTAATAACAAAATTGATCTTTCTTGCCATTAAGCCCCGTGTTTAGAAGGCTCTCTTCTCTAACCTTTTTCCCACCTGTTCTAGTCTCTTAATATGTTTAGACCACACTTGCTCCAAAAAAATAAACCACACACTAATTTAGTGCGGATACCATTTTTTTGTTTTATCTACAGAATATTTTGTTTTGATGATATAAAATGTTACTATCTAATCTAAATTTTAAAAATAATGCAGATTTTAATTTATTATTATAATCAGTATCTATATAAATGTATTGTATGTAATTGTGTAATTTTATTTTGGAAAAATAATATATATTAACTACGTTTAGTGCTGGGAAGTGAGTCAAACTCGCCCCACCAGAGCCGCTTAATCCGCAAAAAATATATTTTATCCGCATCCACCCCCACTTAATTTTACGGGTAATCCGCGAGACCCGCGGATAATTATTAAATAGTAAAAATAATTATTTTTATCTTTTTCTAAAAAAATAATATTAAATAATATATTTTGAATTAATTTTTTAATATAAAAAAGAATATTTTAACTAAATTTAGTATATTTTTGAAAAATAAACTTAAAAACAAATATTATATTTTCTGGATTACCGGGTACCCGTAATTAAAATTAGAATAACCCGCACCCATCCCAAATAAAATACACCACACCCGCAAATTAAATTTTTCAAATCCGTGGCGGGTCAAACGGAGCGAGACCCGCGGGCTAATATCAAAATTCTCAGTTCTGACTACGCCAATTAAGGCTGGTGTGTTTATTTTTGAAAGAAACTTCATAAATAATTAGAATATGAATTTAGCCCATTAATAAAACTCATTATTATATTATTATTAGCCCCAAAAACTAAAATACTATATTGTCATTAATGAAAATAAAATTTATTCATATTATTAAGGGTAATTTTAGAAAACGTAAAAAACTCATTAAAAAGAATAATCTCCTTTTAATGGTATTGATATTATTGTTTTTAAATGTTTCTGAATTATGTTACTATATTACTAGCATTTTTAGTCGAAAATTTAAAAAAATTATGATGATTCACATCTAATCGTATCATCTTATCATGTCATATAAATATATACATGATTGTGTTTCTTATACAATGCTAAACAAAATTTATATGAAATTTTAATTTAAAATTTAGACATTTGATTTATAAACATCAACGAACTATTATTAGTATAACTTTTACCAAAGATTCTTGTTTCATCAACAAAAAATGGGTTGTTCAAATTTTATTTTGGGAAATTCTCCAAAATAACACCCTTTTTAGTTTTCATCTCAAAAATAGCATCTCAAATTGAAAATCACAAAAATGACATTTTTAATAAGATACATTATCTTGAAGATTAATATATTATCCGGAAGCTCATCCTAAACACGCTCAAGGCTTTCCAAATTTTATAATACATTATCCTCAAAATTAATATATTATCAGGAAGTCCATCCTGAACACGCTCAAGTCTTTCCAATTTTATAATACATTATCCTGAAGGTTAATATATTATCTGGAAGTCCATCCTGAACACGCTCAAGGCTTTCCAAATTTTATAATACATTATCATGAAGATTAATATATTATCTGAAAGCTCATCCTGAACACGCTCAATTTCAAATTTTATTATACATTATCCTAAAGATTAATATATTATCCGGTAGTCCATCCTGAACACGCTCAAGGCTTTTCAAATCTTATAATACATAACTGTGAAGCCTATCATGAACATTAATATATCATCCGGATTTTAATATATTAAGGGCTTCGGGGTTTATGATTCGAATTTCGTAAAAATATAGGGTTTCGGGATTAAGGGTTAAAGTTGAGGGTTTAGGGTTTAGATTTAGGGTTTAAAGTTTTTGTTTCAGGATGGTTTATAGTTGAAGTTTCAGGGTTTAAAGTTAAGAGTTGAAGATTCAAGGTTTAGGGTTCTAGAATTGATGTTTCAGGGTTTAGAGTTGAAGTTTCAGGGTTTAGGTTTTAAAGTTGAAGTTTGAAGATTTAAGGTTCCAGATTTAATGTTTCATGGTTTAGAGTTTTGGAATTGATGTTTCAGGGTTTAAAGTGGAATTTCAGGGTTTAAGGTTCGGAGTTGAAGTTTCAGGGTGTAGGGTTTTAGAGTTGATGTTTCAGTGTTTAGGGTTTAGAGTTGAAATTTCAGGGTTGGGGTTTAGAGTTGAAGTTTCAGGTTTTAGAATTGAGTTTTCACGGTTTAGGGTTTAAAGTTGAAATTTCAAGTTTAGGGTTCAAGAACTGATGTTTCAGGGTTTAGAGATGAAGTTTCAGGGCTTAGGGTTTTAGAGTTAGATTTTCATGGTTTAGGGTTTAGAGTTAAAGTTTCAGGGTTTTAGAGTTAGATTTTCATGGTTTAGGGTTTAGAGTTAAAGTTTCAGGGTTTAGAGTTGAAGTTTCAGGGTTTAGAGTTGAAGTTTCAGGGTTTAGAGTTTTAGAGTTGTATTTTTAGGGTTTAGAGTTGAAGTTTCAGGGTTTAGGGTTTTAGAGTTGATGTTTTAGGGTTTAGAGTTAAAGTTTCAGGGTTTAAGGTTTTTGAGTTGATGTTTCAGGGTTTAGGGTTTTAGAGTTGATGTTTCAGCGGTTTAGAGGTTAAACATCAGGGTTTACGGCTTTAGAGTTGATGTTTCAGGATTTAGGGTTTAGATTTGAAGTTTCAGGGTTTAAGATTTAATAGTTGATGTTTCAGGGTTTAGAGTTGAAATTTTAGGTTTAAGGTTTTAGAGTTGATGTTTTAGGGTTTAGGGTTTAGAGTTAAATTTTCATG